AGCTCTTAGAGCAAACCAACTATGCTCTATTGGTGTACTCCTACTATGCCATAGATTTCTTGAGTAGACATTCATCTAAGTGCAATGTGATAACTCCTTTAGCATACAAGGAATGACATGTCCTATCTTAGTTATACACCTATCTCCATTGGATTCCTAGTACACCCAAGGAATCGCTCACGTGTAACCCATTAATGGGTCCATCAAAATAAGTTTCAAAGTGCATAAGTCCTCCAACGAGATAACCGTGATGACGTTAAGTCTAAGGGCCATTTGTACCCATCTCGTATGCGATTCCTATAGATTAAAACCAAATGGGTTCTCATGACGAGTCAAGTCTAGTGATATGTTCTTTAACATAAATCACCTAAGTGCTTACTTTGGCATCATCATGCCAATAGGTGTGAGATCTTTTACTATTATCATATAACATGAACATAACACTCACTAGTCTATCCGTATGTTGTCGATGTCCATTCTTGATGATGCTACGACTTGGGACATTTAATGATATCATTTATGTTCATTAGTGTTTGTCTCACATCTTTTGATCAATCGCTATTGCAAAATCATATCATAAGGACTTCTATCTAATTCTACCGAACATGTAAACAAAAGAATTACTAAAATGGCTTCTTTATTATTATCAAGATAAATAATGCAACATTATATCAACTCAAGCCCATCCATACATGGTTGGGCACCTATACTAACGTAACAATTGTAGAAGAGGCTTGAGCAATAGGTCGAGATAAGCCACCTCCCGGTAGTGTTGGGAAGTCGCCATTGCCAATTCGAGGGTTGTTGACATTCCTAGTGTTAAGTAGGTCGACGTTGTTAGCATTATGATTAGAATCATACATGGTATCATTATTGTTATAGGCGGTTGAGCTAATATCAAGATTGGTGTTTTTCTTAATTGTTTGGAAAAGTGCCATTGTTCTTCATAATCACTAACTCTCTAGTTGAGTTTCCAAAATTTAGAGGTTGGTTCTTGAAAATGGATCGACGACTAGTCGAAGGCCAATCAAGATATAGAGAACTAGTGTTGTAATTTGCAAAAGTAATAATTAACCAACCAAATAGAAAGGATACTAATAGTAAAAGGTGTTGGAGGAAGAAAGAACAATGCTAGTAAGGTACAATTCGTTTGGTCGTCATGTGAGAGGTCAAGGTCCAACCAGATAAAGCTTTAGGTATTGTCCAGTGTGTGAGTGAGGGAGTTTTGAGATGAAAAATGCTAGTTTTTTTTTTTTTTTTTGCTAAAGATTGAAAGTTCTGAAGTTTAAATTTCTCCGATGCAAAAAGTAGAGATGCTTTCATAATGATATGAGGCTAGTATTTATAGAGAAAGGAGATGACTTTTAACCTGCAGGGATCATGCCACATCATCTAAGCTTGGAGGGTCGATTTAGCTCGTAGGATTTAGGTTCTTTGAACTAAACAACTTCAACTTGCTAGCAAAAGTTAAATGAAGTGACAATTAGACTTTTTCTTAGCGGATCCTCGCTTTAAGCTTACCAAGTCAATCTTCCTAATGCAAACTAATGGTAAGGCATCGACACTAATCTCGTTAAAATACCCGTGTCCATCCTTATGACCCAAGACCTTGCATTGATTTAGGTCCATTCTTAGTTCAATTAATTTTTCGTGCAATTTAAACTCATGTCAAAATCAAAGAAAAAGACAAAAATTAATTAAAATAATTAATTAAAATGTTGAGCAATATATATCATTAGTTTTTACTAATTGGCTTTCTATGTTACACTCGTGAATCGAACAAAATATATTTATTTCGAGTTGATAACTCCGTATTATACTCGTTAGTCAATTAAAATATATAAGATTAAAGACAAATGAAAAAATTTCATTTAATTTCATATTTTTTTTAATCAAAATTTTATATTTTATTTATTCTTCTTTATGGTTGTTAAATAAACACAACATTTATTGTTTAAAATTAATCTCTTCAATTGGTCATTTTTTTTAAAAAAATTCTCATCAAATATTTTTTTATTATTCTTTTTATGTTATTTTATTTGTTAAGTAATATGATTTATTTTCTCTATGCATATATTTTTGAATAATATTAAAAAAATAATCAATTAAAAATTAGATTTCACATGTTTCATTTGTTTATTTTTAATATAATCAAAATATATCGACATTAATTTTGTAATTGTTTTTATAACTATATACTAACTTCAATAAATTCCTTATAATTTAAGTTTTTTAAATATTTTTTTAATTTATGATGCGGACTATGACTCATTGAGTGTGTGTATGTATGTATGTATGTATATATATATATAAAATAGTAAATGGTTTGTGTTATATATAATTAAAATCATTAGTTGTATTGAAAATTAACTATGCATCAACACATATAACATAAACGATTTACTATTATTTTTTTAATATTCTAAAATTAATATCATAATTTTTAATCAAAATTTTATATTTAATTTATTATTTTTTATATTTTTCATCAATTTTGCAGTTAAAAAACACGACTTGTTCCGCCTTATGCATTCATTTTTAAATAAAAACCTATAATAATCTAAATATAAAATTTAAAAAAATCTTAATTTTTTTCATAAGATTGCATCAAAGAAATAAAAAAATAATTAATATAAAAAATTGTATAAAAATTATGTTGATGAGAAGATTGACTTTTTAAAAATATTTACATTTGATTTATATATATTTCTTTTTAAAAAATCAATAATATTAGCATAAAAAATTATATTTGAATTGTTTGGTGGTTCTTCTAAAATATTATTTTAAATATTTTATTTGAAAGAAATTAATTTTAGAATATTAAAAAAAAGTAAATGATTGATATCATGTGTATAGGTGCATAGTTAATTTCTAATAAAATTAATAATCTTAATTTTTTTTTAATATATACATTATGACTATACTTAAGAGATCGAGTGTGAAACATAAATAAAAAAAATTGCTCTAAAAAACTTCAATTGTTAGGAATATATTAAAGTTAATAGACTATAATAAAAATAAGTTTGCAATTTGGACCATGTCTATATATATTAAAGATAAAAGAAACAATTTCATTTAATTTCATAATTTTTTAATCAAAATTTTGAATTTAATTTATTCTTTATTATGGTTTTTAAATAAACACAACACTTATTGTTTAAAATTAATTTCTTCAATTTATCATTTCTTATAAAAATTCTCATCAAATAATTTATTATTTTTCCTTTTTATGTTATTATTATTATATATATAGTTGTTGCTAGTCCGCTTTTCATGCTACGCTCGCGAGCCGAACAAAATATATTTATTTCAGTTTGGTAACCTTTACTATACTCGTTGGTCAATTAAAATATACAAGATTAAAGATAAAAGAAAAAAATAATCTAATTTCATATTTTTAATTAAAATTTTGTATTTAAGTTATTGTTTTTTATGGTTGTTAAATAAACACAACACTTATTATTTAAAATTGATCTCTTCAATTTATCATTTCTTATAAAAATTCTCATCAAACAATTTTTATTCTTCGTTGTATGTTATTTTATTTTTTAATACACATACACACACCCACACACACATACATACATACATACATTTGTACTAATCGGCTTTTCATGCTACACTATAAGTTGAATAAAATATATTTATTTCAATTTGATAACTTGCATTATATTATTAGTCAATTGAAATATATAAGATTAAAGATAAAAGAAAAAAAAATCATCTAATTTCATATTTTTTAATCAAAATTTTATATTTAATTTATTCTTCTTTATGGTTGTTAAATAAACACAACACTTATTGTTTAAAATTCATCTCTTCAATTTGTCATTTCTTATAAAAATTCTCATAAAATAATTTTTTTATTCGTCTTTTTATGTTATTTTATATGTTAATAAATATGATTTATTTTCTCTAGATACAGATTTTCAAATAAGATTTTTTTAAAAATAAATAATCAATTAAAAATTAGAATTCACATGTTTTATTTTCTAATTTTTTTTTGATATAATCAAAATATATCGAAATCAATTTTGTAATTGTTTTTATTACAATCTACTAACTTCAATTTATTCCTTATAATTTAAGTTTTTTTTTAAATATTTTTTTTATTTATGATGCATACTCCGACCCATTGAGTATGATATAATAATAATAATAATAATAATAGTAATAATAATAAAATTGAGATAATTGGTTTTGTTGAAAATTAATTATGCATCTACACATATAACTCAAACCATTTATTATTATTTTTTGAATATTTAAATGTAATTTCATAATTTTTAATCAAAATTTTATATTTAATTTAATTTTTTGTGTTTTTCATAAATTTTATAAGTAAAAAATACGATTTGTTCTTCCTTATACATTCATTTTTAAATAAAAACCTATAATAATTTAAATATAAAATTTTAAAACATCTTAATATTTTTTAATCGAAGAAATAAAAAAATTAATATAAAAACTAGTATAAAAATTATGCTAACGAGAAGATTAATTTTTTGAAATATGTACATTTAATTTATATATATTTATTGTAAAAAATCAATAATATCATTATAAAAAAATATATAATTGAATTGTTTAGTGGTTCTTCTAAAATATTATTTTAAATATTTTATTTAAAAAAAATTAATTTTAGAATATTAAAACAAAAAGCAAATGATTGGTATTATGTGTATAGATGTATAGTTAATTTTTAATAAAGTTAACGATATTAAGTTTTATATATATATATATATATATACCATGATTGTAATAAGTAGATCGAGTATGCAATACAAATAAAAAAATATTAAAAAAATTAAATTGTTAGGAATATATTAAAGTTAATAGATCGCAATCAAAATAATTTTACAATTTAGACCCATGTCAAATAATAATAATAATAATAATACAAGATAAAAATTAATTAATTAAAATGACAAGCATATACAGACCCTAATAGCCTTTTACTTCGGTAACCCAAAACAGTGTCATCATCCGATTCTGCAAACATGGAAGTCATGGTTTCCAATTCTGAAGAAGGATCTTGCTACGATATGGTCAAGGAAGTGAATGCAATTGATGCAACAAAAGCAGGTGTCAAGGGACTAGTTGATTCTGGTGTGACCAAGATTCTTAGGTGTTTTGTCCACCCACCGGAGGATGTGCTCAAGTGATCATCCAAGTCTAGCGACATCAACTCAGGTTCCAAATGCAACCTAAAAAAAGAAAAAAAAAGAAGAAAAAGAAAAAGAAAAAAAGGTAGGCAACAATGCTTTTTGCCTTCGAAATCTTTTACCACTACTCTCTCCAATAGGAAAAATCTCCATAGTTTAGAGATGAATTCATCATCTAGTATTTCATCCGCTTAAATGAACCACATAAACTAATTGATATACTTTTTATTTCTATATATATATATATATATAACTTAATTTAAATTGAATGGAATCCATTATAGGTAGAGTATTGGAGTTTTCTCCGCCGTTAGTAATCTTTCTGGAAAAAAAAACACGGTTAGGAATAATCTTGTGTTTTGCACCGTCAGGATAATCGTCAGTAACTAAGTATGAATCACTATCCGTGTAATAGGAATTTGATTGGCTTAAGAGAAACTTAGCAACGAATGATTTATGTTAATTAATTTTTCAATGCGACAAGTTCCAGAATATAACATCAAGGGAAAAAAAAAGAAGAAAAAGGGGGCACATAAGGAAACCTGTCAAGGCAGGAAGCACCGTCCTAAAATCTGACCAAAATAAAACCGAATAAATGGATTAATTACGAGTGAATTGCCCCAAGTATTGGAATTTGATTAATTGAGACCTTATATTGTTAATAAGACCTTTCTAATCTATAATCCTACAATGCATTTGGTTAATGTTTAGGCCTTCAATTTGTAATGCTATCAATAGCGATGATACTGCTAGCGTCATACATATACAATTATTTTATTTAATTTTAGAAATATTATTTTTGTTATTTTCTTTAATAAAAAATATTAATAATACAATTTGAAAACCTTATGATATACCTCAAAAAAATTATATTTCCTCTTAACGTTGAAAATTTCCTTTTATTTACTTTCCTCATCTTTGATTTCATTATTATTTAATTTATGTTCTAAATCTTTTAAAAAATTGATTTTAAAAGATTGATTCAACACAAAAATTTTAATTGGTTGAAAAATTAGATCTGAAGGATAAATTAAATATTTTAAATACATTCAAAGATATATGAGATGTAATTGAAAATTGAAGAATAGATAAGAGATATTAAATATTATATAAAAACAAATGGATATATTTATTCAAATTATTTACTGTATACAGGATAAAGTGATCTCATTAGTTATATTCATAGTAGAAGGACTTAATTAGTCAAACTTTAATAATAGAGGGATGACCACTGTAATTATAATTAACCCCACAGGAAACAGAAAAGGGTGCCGAGGGAAGATGCCCTCTCTCTCTTGCAGACGACATACATACACATTGGAACAAAAAAATGAACATTCTTTGCTTCTCTTCGCTTCTCTTAAGCAGAAAAACCGGGTTCAAAAGACAGTCACGAAAATCTTTATCTTGACCTAAATCACAAATTCTAATAAGAATTTCTTGGCAACAAACAAAATCAAATCAAATCAAACCCTTTGAGCTCTTTCTTTCTAATCTAATCTAGTCTAGTCTAGACTCTGACAAGAAGAAGAGGAAGAAGAATCATCGATTTGATTCTGAAGAATGACAAGTAATAGTAGCAGTATATGTCCGAGCAACTCAATAATCTACAACACGAGCAGGTGCGCGTGTCCGGCGGGGCAGTTGCTGAACCGCACGGCAAACAGCTGTTTGTTTTTCTCCGGAAGCTCTGCCATATCTGCCGGCACGGGTGTGGATTTGGAAAACAAGGGGTTTTCGTTTCCGGAAACCATATTCTCATTCGATTCCATCAAGAAATTCACTCAGTCTCAGGCTGTTTTCTTGGAGGCGACGCTTGTTATGGTTGCTTCTTGGCTTTTGTTATGCTTCTTCTTGAGGTTTACAAAGCTTGATCATCGTGATGGGACCCGCAACATTTGGTTTCGTATTAGGTGGTGGATTAGTCGCTTGGACATTTGCTTTGCTACCAGGCATTGGCTGGTAACTTCTTTCTTCTCAACCTTCCATATGCTGTTCGAGTACTTTATAACTAGAGATTGTTACTTTATTTATGCCCTTAAAGAGAAATCAGATCGTACATTGAGCACATGTATATTAATTTGTGGAGTTTTAGTACTTAGGGTATCCTCGTGCAACCGGTTGGGTCTTAAGCAGCCAGCCACCAACCCCTGGACTTGTGCATTCTCAAGAAATTTAATCTGTTATTTACTTGTTGCTCTTGGTATTTATTTTTTTGTAGGATGATCGGAAGGTGGTTGTGAAGCGGAAAACTGAACTTGGTGGAACCTTCTCAATAGCTAGTTGGATACTTTTCATCGGTTTGTTTGCTGCGTGAGTACCATTCCTTCTTTAAGCCAACATTTGCAATTTCTTGATTCTAAACTAATCTTTTATGTTTACAAGTTCCTTCACATCTGTTGGTTGTAGTAATAGACTACTGACTTGGCTTTTCAGTTTTTCCTCAGGCTGCTTTACCAGATTATATCAAAGAGAACCATTGAGGTGCATAACGTGAGAGCAACAAATGCACCTGATTTGGCCTCTTTTATTAACGACATGGAATTTAATATAACTACTGTATCTAGTATGAGCTGTTCAAATTTGCAAGGACTTGTTACTTTAGTTACAGGGAATCCTGGTTTTATAGATTACAGAGTCGCCCCTCTTACCGATTTTGTGAACTACACATGCCGAAACACAAGTATGGGGCCAACTCTAACTTTTAATTGTAGCAAGTGCCACTTTAATAGAGATTATACGTATATTTCGTGGCAGTTTGTTGATCTTCCAAGTACTCCTGCAACTGCTGTTGGTTTTCAGTTCAACCTTAGTGTAAAAGATCATGCTGACAATAGACATGTGAGTTTTGTTAGCGGCACACTAAAGAGTGGAAGCACTTTTGATGATAGACCAGTTACATTCAGGGGAAAGGATTCAAACATACTGAAATTTAATCTGTTTCCTCGAATATACCATAACCTACATGATCTAAGGCTCATCCAACCCTTGTTTCATGAGTTTGTTCCGGGTTCCTTCTTTGGGGAGACAAGTCAGCTCCAAGCCTCCCTTGAAACTTCTAGTGATGGACTAATCAACTCTACTTTGTCGATTAACTACCTCTCATCATATATAGTTGAGATCGAAAATCAAAACATAATGGGCCCTGGTAAGTGATTTGCTCATCTTTGTTGATGTATACTACCATTTTGGAATATGATTCTTGTTTATTCTGAGAAAGTCATAACATTGTGATTGTTTTCTTGATTTATGTGTTGTTATGGTGGAATTGCTTGCATGCGTCTTTAATGAAGAAGTGAGTGACGTGAGTTTGCTCTAAATTGTTGTTTGAAGTGGAGGTGAAGATGGTTTGTCTTGTGCATGAAAAAGTTCACAATTAGTCCTGACAAATTTATAATCTGGTAGTCAGTTAGGACTTCAAGATTGACAAAGAAACTAAAGTTGAATCCAGACATTACTTCTTGATTAATATAAGTTCCCATTTTGCACACACTGGATGCCAGCTCACTCGTATAAAATGTGCCCATTTTCCTTGTATGTATAACCAGCCACCAGAGAAAAACTGGAAATGTAATTATGTCCCTTTTTTCTTGGGCACAAATTATTTCTAAACTCACGGATGTTTAGAAGTAGACAAGTCAAATTGTTAAAAATATTACTATGGATCCTCTCGGAATGATTGAAACACAGATGATGAGAACATTTTCCCAATATGAAACGTATACATGATGTTATTGGCAACACTCAATAAAACATTTCTAAAAAATTGAATTCTGCTAATCAAAGACATCAAGTTTCATGCATTCAGGGATAGTAAATACAAATATCTAATCCATGACATGTGAATGTGACAGTCTCAATGTAGAGATATTTTAATGACAGTGACAATAAAGAGAAGAAACCATGTGGAAGAAAGAGAAGAAGACTTTTTTATTGAATTGGCAAAGAAGCCCTTAGTCTTTAATGCATTCAGGGACAAATGGGGTCCAAGTAAATTTGGGAACAATACCCTGCATTCTATTGGGCAGATCAGCAAATCCGACACTCCACTCTCTCAATCCCCAAAAACAATCCTGTATAGAAAATGATAAAATCACTCCAATCCCTCAATCCCCCAAAAAAATCCTGTATAGAAAATGATGAACTTTTTAATTAATTTTTATAAGAAAAAAACACACTGCTTATATTTTATAGTTTTCTTCTTTTTTGTGTGAATCGATGTTTAATCTTGCTTTCCCTTGATTTTCTTGTTGCTGTATCAGTGTGCGTGCCACTCTTATTTAGTTTGTGGAGACAGTTGCACAAGTGATAAATTGAAGCCTCTCTAAGGAGGGTTTATCTGTTCAGTTTGTTATAATCTTTCTTTTGCATGTCTTCCACTCAACCTGGTTTTGTTTGCACTGGGATTTGAGCATTTGCTGAATCAAACTGACCTGTTCAATGTCCAAACTTTCATAAACCACTCCAACCCAGCAAGCATTAACAATGAATGTGTATTTTGCGCTTAGCTGCTAACACTTGGCTGCAGTTGTTACACTTTCGGAAGTTAATATTAGATCCATATTCTCATATACTTTTCTTTATTCACTATGCAGTAAGCTTCCTAGCGGATCTTGGTGGCCTATATTGCATTAGCATTGGCATATTTTTCTACCTTTTGGTGCAAGTATGGTTCTTATTCCTTTTTCACAGCTCTTTCTCTTTCACATTCATTATTTCTCCTGTTTATTATAATTGTTTTTAAAAAATTATGGAGGATGAATATTTTATTTCCATATTGTAAACATGAATACATGTATATTTAGTTTGTAAGCCAAGAAGTCAAGCATGCATCAGCAAGTATGGTGTTGATGAATGACCAAAAATTGAGCCTCAAAGAATCAAGCAATGAAGTTTTTTTTCTTTTCTTTTCCTTTTTTTTTTCTTCTGTATGTTGTGTGAATATATTCAAACACACAAGCATCCTACAATGCATATATTATCTTTCTGCCTTTTGTGAAGCTCTGTGATGTTTGTGGAGTACCATGTGGTGATGTTGGAGTTGAAAATGTAGTTCTGGTGAGGATAGCTGTGTGATAAGTTTGGTGGTACAATTTTGTAAGTGTAATTGGTGGGATTATTATGCCAAAGAATGCTTAGAAATACTTTATTCTTGAATAATGGTAAAAAGGACTAGCAATTTCCTTTCTGAGATTTTATTGAATTCTTCTGAAAGCATAAATCTTTTAATCTTTTCTATTTTCCTTTTCCTGATCATGACAACAATGCAACACATGCACCTTGTGTAATGGTGGGTTTAGAAGGGTAGATGTGTTGAAAATAGAGGCGTTAGCCGTGCACTTTGTCGTGCATGATGATTTGGGATGCTAATGCATAGGACTGAGTGTGGTGTTACTCTGACGGTGATCATTCTCCTAGTAGATATCTATGCCATATATATAGAGAACTCCCAATGTTTCAATACTATATATATATATATATATATATATATTGAAATACCTAAAAGAAATCAAAATAGTGGAAAGAAGGATATGTTCTAAACATGAAAATATGTTTGTTTTATGTTAGTTTATATTTTTTTTAACATGATTTTCATCAAACTTCCAAAGCAAAGTAATTTATCCTGTATTTTGTAACTTTTTTTATTTGTAGTGTGAGTACAGAGTAAAAGGACTTCGGAATGAAGATGTCACTATGCGACAGATAAGAAATCGGCTAAAAGCTCGAGAACACTGGGAGAAAGTAAGTTGTTTTTCATCTGCAAATCCACCTTGTATTTCGTTCTGCTGCCTTTTACATTGACTTTCAATTTTTATTTGTGGTCTTGTTATCATACTGAACAATACATGTATTTGTGCTTTTCATAACCAGTTGAGGAAATATGTAATGTACACGTGGGGTTGCAGAACATTAGATGACAACTACAAAAGCACTAAACAAGGATCAAGTTGCACTGGCTTCATGATTCCATCTATTCATGGAAATGGACCACTACGTGGAAGTGAATCATTAAGGAAGAAGTTGCAAAATAGAGAGGACAGTATATCGTTTAACAAGAAAGTCAGCATACCCAGTGAAAAGGTAATGTTGTGTTTTTTGTCTCTGCATTCAAGCTGTTTTATATGTACTGTTCTCAACTTGTTTTTTGATTCCCTTGAGCTTTTTCAAATTATTATTTTTTTTTGGCAGAATTCCATTGCAGAACATGCTTGTATCCAGGGAGTAAAACCTTTTACAGCTGAATCTATGTTGAACTCTGAAGAGAGATTGTTGGATTCGAGGGAAGAGCATGTATGTTGCTTTTACTTGTTTCGTTTTTTTGTTATAGCATGGGTCCTTGCTCCTTTTATCTTTTCTTAGTCCATTTCCAAGTAGTCATCATTAACTGATCCGACTTGAGTTGATCCCTTAGAGTATCATCTAGTTACTTAATGTTGAAAGTTTTTATAGGACACTTGATGACTGGATTTTCCTTTTCTTATGTCTTTCACATGTTGGCTTTTACTAAACCATCATAGCACAATGCCCATATAAAGTAAACTCAACTATTCTTAGCTTAAATGACACTCAATATGTTCTGTGATTAACTGACATTGGACCAGTCACAACTTCTACAGCTTGGCACCTGAAGTTGATTGTAATAGTTCCATTCTCAATTCTTGAAATGGTCAATTTTCTTAGGAATTTGCTAAGAAGTGGTTGCAAATCCTATTTATCGTTGTTGCTGATAAATGTACTGTTGCCTTCCATAAAAAGCACCTAGGCACCTGTTTGGTATTGATGTCTATCTTATATCAATCTGGTCATGTTGTCTTTTCTTTTTTGTTGGAGGAAAGGGTGGTGTTGTTCAAACTTTTATTTTCTTATTCTTTATTTTTTATTTTTTTAGTTTTTGGAATGTAGTGAAGACTCCATTGGTCCAAAGAATCTTTTAACGTATGCATTCACTATGCTTTTCCCAGCCTCTCAGAGGAGAAGTGCTTCTCTCTTCAAATGATAGGAAACAGCATTCAGTTGGTTTCTACAAGGAAGATGCTTCCATGCCTCAAGCATATACTTGTGAAGAAGATGATGTCATTCCCATGCCACCTCCTCTAGGTAACACTAATCTGATGCATAAAGCTTGTCGTCTTCACTTTTTTGTTTTCCTTATATACCTTGTTACATATCTCTTAAAGGTAAATGTGTCATATGTTAGAGTTTAAACATGGAAAAATAAAATGAGAAGCAACACAAGCTTCCAAAGCACTTGAAAGGTTTGTTATAAAAAAAAAAAAAAAAAATCCAGCCCATACTTGTTACACTGTCTACTAATCTTGAAGGGTGAATAAATCATATTGGGTGAGGGGGAGAGATATAAGCTTTGTGACTATTCCTTACCTAGCAATAAGTTATAACTGTAGTTTTGGTTAATTCTGCCAAAAAAGAAGAGATGAAAACAGAAGGAAAAAATGTCTGAACCATGTACCCCATGCTAACTTTAATAACCTAAGCTATACCAACGCAGTGGACCATGTTAACATTTCATGGCCATGGAACATGAGATATATACATGTTCTTTGCATTTAAACCTGAAATGAAGAGAAATTTGCACTAAGGTATTGCTGCCTAGTCAACTAATGTGGAACATTGATCCCTGAACGATAAAGCTCCTTGATCAGTGTAATTGAAGGCATGGATGCAATATCAGCAATGATTTGAAAGCTTTAAGTAGTGTTAGGACACTTCATGGCATGCATTTCAACATTTACATGAGAAGCTTGGAGATCATATCAATTTTAAGTGTCTTCCAGAACTTGAAGGCATTAACTTGAGGTCCCAGATGTTAATGCATTCACCTATGGAGAGGTGTCATATGAGAAGGACGTATGGATGTGGTGGAAAAATTCAATTCAAGGTTCGTTGTAGGAGGGACAGCCCTTGGTTTCAAAGTTGATTTATTTGGGAGTTTGTCCCAAGTTCATTCCTACAATATTGGTCACATGATACTCTGGAGCGTAAAATTTTTCCAAGAAAGAAGAAATAAAATACTCAACAAGGGTAAAAAAAAAAAAAAAAGGTCGTATAATGAACCATAAGAATTTAGCTCAAGTTATGACACTTCACAGTTCAACATATGTTACCATTTGACATTTTAAGGACCCAAATAAATTGCTATCACCGCTAGTGGCACTGTACCTTGGACAGAGTGTTCATCAAGTTGCCCATCTGATTAGAAGATTTTGATTAAAACAAATCTTAAATAAAGGAAAATAGTTTACAGACAAACAAATGTTACTAGAAGTGCTTTTAAATTGGTGTGGCTTGTGGTAAGTGGTGATATATGGTCACAAGCATTGATGATTGGTCAGACATGAAACGACACAATCAGTACATTTGAGAGAAGAAGGTATTTGATTTGGCATTTATGGGCTTAGTCTCTTCTATAGTTGCTTTTCACACAAGTGTTTTTATTTTTTTGCTGCAGAATTCAATGCTAGATCTGAAGTAGAGATGTCTGATATACTGAAGAATCTTGATCGTTTGCATGATTACAATGTGATGCTGAGAGAAAAATTTCTAGTCAACCAATCTTTACTACATGCTTTAGCATCCAAGTCAACTTCATCAACGAATAGCCAAACGTAGCACTGATGAAGCAAACACAAGGAATTATTCCTCTCTATTAAGAGAAACTCTTGGAGTTGTTCTGCTCGGGGTAGTAATATCTATGAATATTTGTTTGTAGGAAGAAAAAAGTTGTAAACCTATGTCCAGAGTACAAGTGTCCTTGGTATTCCTAAGGCAGATGAAATTCTCTGGCAAAACGGGAACTCATTTAAAGGCAGCAGCTTTGTGAACGTTCCTGTGTCAATGGGATTGATTTTGTCAGGGATCCAAAGGACTGTCATGTCTGATGGTGCATGAGAATGGCATCTTTCATGGTATGCTTTGAGGTTATAGCTTTGTTTTTTTTTATTGGGACAGAAATGATTCTTGGGTATAGGGACCGCAAACAGGGAAATATACGGGGGTGAGTGATGGTTGGCGACTGAGTAGGTTGCTTTAGATGCGTATTGTTTCTCCGATTTCTGTATAAATATTCCTTCTCTAGGATAATTAGTTGTATGGTTATAAAAATGAAAATTTCGGAATAAAACACAGAAATTGAAATAGCATTTTCATTTCTATAGTAATGTATTTGGAATAGTAATAAAAAATAAGAATGAAATTTAAATTTTTTAACATTTGGTTTTCAAAACAAATAAAAGTAATAATTAATTTTTTTTTATATAAATTATGATGATAGTAAAATTAATATGGGGGTGGTTATTCGACTTGTTAATTTAATTTGTTACTCTATTTATTATTTTTTAAAAAATCATAATATAAATTTTTATTTAGTTCATACTTGGTTCATGCTAGTAATCGATCTATTTAATATTCATTAAATACTCGTTAAATTTAATTTATCAAAAATATTTATTTTAGTTATTATAATTTTTAAGAAAAGTTTTTTCATCCTTAAATTTTTTTTTGGTCATTTATTTATAATTTTTTTTTGGTCCTTAAAGTTTTTGAAAAAACTTATTTTGGTCTTTAATTTTGAGATTTTATACAATTAAATTCTTGCATGTTAATAAATAATATAAATAAATTAGTGAGTATTAATACGGTAAAGAGTTATTATTTATACCCCGAAATCATATTAGTATGTTTATATATTTTTTTTATTCTTATTCACTTCAGCACCAATTTGATATTTTTAATGAGTATTTATTGGATCAAATAAAACGAATACTTATTTTATATCCAATCTATTACCATTCCTAGATATAAGTGACATTAATAACGAGTATAGTAATAAAAATAATACATTTTTTTATTTTATATTTTTTAAAAAATTAATACCATCACAATGAAAGATGGTAGCGGAAGAAAAGTAATTATGAGGGTAAAATAGTAGTGATAAAATAAATAATAATAATATATTTTTTTTATTTTCATTATTAATGATAATGATATAATAAAAGTGATGATGGTGGTTAGAAAATGATAGTAAAATAATAATAATATATTTATTTATTTATTTATTTATCATTATTATCTATAGAGGCGACAGTATTGGTAGTAAAAGGGATAAAAATAGTTATATAATAAATAAGATAATACCTTATTCTTTTAAAGGAAAAAAAATTCATTCTTATTATGAAAATAAAACAACGTTTTGTTATGAAATAACGAATATCCATCATCATATTCATCTACTTTTCATATCCCCACTACTCATGATTCTTAATATGATTCAATTCATCATTCGAGTATGAGAAATTGAAAGGATGATGCAATTGATTATTCATAATCTCTTCTAATTCTCTTCTCAAATTTGAAGTCTATAAATAGACTTGATTGTTTATTAGTTGGTATACAAGCATTTTGTAGAGACTGTTACAATTGTTTAGAGTTGTTATCTCTTATATTCTCTTTATAGTAAAATCATTTCTTCATCATTTTTTTCTTCAATTCTCCTATTATTTTTATTTCTTTTATAACAAGTTATCGGCACGAAGCTCTAACCAATCAAGACAATACACCATGAGATATGTATCTACCAAAAGAATTAATTAATTACTTCGACCATTGAATTTCTTCTACACAAGTGCTCTACCAAAAGATCTAAATTATTTAGATCATTAAGAGGCATGTATCTAATATATCATGTACTTTAAGTATAATGATATATATAATTTACATTTAAAAAACTTAAATAATTTAATATATAGAATCCAATGATCTAATACATATTATTTGAAAAGATTTAATTTTATTAATATTTTTGTTCTTATTTTCTAATAATATTATTATATATTACATTATAGAATTTTTATCATATCAAACCTCATAAACTCCGATTTTGTGGCTCTTGATATTTCAAATAAGAATTATTGATTATAAGTGCTTGATTCGAAAAAATGTTCTCTACTTTTTTATGTCTTGAATATGCTCTCGCAGTAGCAATATTGAGAAAATGAATTTAAGAAATATTCGAATCGATTTCATATTTGCTTATGGCTAAATAAAATGACAAGCTATTGATGAAAATGAATAAATCTTATCCAATTGGATTTACTTCATTCCCTAAAGTGAATATGACAACTTATAATAATTTTGATCATGGACAAAGATGTGGTCATAGCCATAGACGTAATCGAAATAATTATCATTATAATTGTGATGACCATAATATTACATCTTACTACTAGAAGTGGATAACTATATATAAAAAGAAGGAATAAAAATAGATGAAGTCAATATTCTAAAAAAAAAAAAATTATAGATGTGGAATGAATGAATATTGATCTTGTATCCGTTGCACACCGAAGCATCTCTTTGAGCCTTGTCAAGCCTTATTAAAAAATAAAGAATAAATTATGAAGGATACTTTTATATATAAAAATAATAGTAATTAAAATTAATTACTTGTTAGTTTTTCTATTTATAAATCAAAATTTTTATATTTCTTATAATTTATATCGTCTAGTGATGGTTACAAATTTATTTTATTTATTTATTTGTGTTTATGAGGAATTTATTTATTTATTTATTGATTTATTTGGTTATTTATTTTATGTTAATATTATATATGATAATATCAATCTAATAGAAAGCTCTAGAAGAGTGACTATAATAATATCTAAAGAGATAAATTTTGAAGGTTCTAGAAGAGCGATTATATTATGATATGAAGAGACAAATTTTTGAGCTCTAGAAGAATAGATATATTATTACTTGAGGAGATAACTTTTAAAGGCTCTAGAAGAGTCGATATATCATTACTTGAAGTGACATAATTTAAAGGCTTTAGAAGAACAAATATATTATTAGTCGAAAGGATAAATTTATTATAAATAATGTACTATTCTCTTCAAATTTTCATAGAAATTTTCAAAGATATTCATCTAAATTGATATCATATCAAGATATTTAATGTGAATACTTATATGTTATAATCATTATACCGGATAGAAAATATATATTGAAAAATTGACTCGCTTTATCTTCTAGTCTTTATTATAAATATTGAAATGATTGAAACAAATACTATAGTAAACTAGAAGTTTACTAATTTAAATACTTTTATTATGTGGTATGACTAGTTGTATTATCTTGGGTCTTTCATGATACGAAAAATTATTAAAAATTAATATGAACATTTATTGAAGAGTTAGAAGATTCTTTAATTTAATGAATTTTCATGTTCCGCATGTTGTCAAGATAAATTGATAATTAAACCATCACCAAGTAAAATTGAGATTGAATCATTATTATTTTTAGAATGTATTCAAGGTGATATATGTGGATCAATTCATCCACCATGTGAACCATTTAAATATTTTACGATTTTAAAAAATGCATCCACAAGATGGTCACATACATGCTTATTATCTACTTGAAGCCCGACATTTTCGAGATTGCTAGTAAATAATTTGATTTCGAGCATAATTTTCAGATTATGCCATTAAAATAATTCACTTTGATAATGCCGATGAGTTTATTTCCCAAGCATTTGATTATTATTGATTGACTATTAGAATAAAGGTTGAACATCTCGTTGCTCATGTTCATACTTAGAAAAGTTTAGTAAAAATTATTTATCAAAAGACTCCAATTGATAGCTAAACCATTATTTAAAAATAAAACTCCATGTTTATGTCTAGAGATATGCAATCTTACATGCAGCAATACTTATTTGCATCGGATCCACAAGTTATCGAAATTCTCTCCTCTTTAATTGATTTATTATCATGAGCTAAATATTTCTAATTTAAGAATTTTTTTAGCGTTGCGAGTGTATATCCATAGTGCTCTTTCATAACGAAATAAAATGGACACTTAAACGAGATTGAGAATATATATTGGATTTAAATCCTTTTCAATAATTCAATATTTTGATTCATGAACAAAAGATATTTTTATAGCTCGATTTATCGACTATTATTTTGATGAAACAATTTTTTCAACATTAGGGGAGAGAATAAACAAAATAAGTAGTTGGAAATGTTAGAAAAAAGAGATTACATAGAGTACTCTATTTTTATATCGAGTTTAGTATAAAACAATGTGAACTAGAAGTTCAAAAGATAATTCGTTTACAAAGTATTACAAACCAACTACTAGATGTATTCTCATATCCTAAAAGAGTAACTAAAATGCATTTCCTCATTGAGAATGCTTCTATTAGAATTGATGTTCCTGGGGGACAATCTATTAATGATATATATCTAATGAATCTAAAGCACGTACGAAGCGTGAAAGATCGATCGGCTCTAAAGATAAAAATCCCTAAAAAAAAAGAGAAAGATACAAATATAAAGGATGTAAATATTCACAAAATGGTGCAAGATATTTCGATAATAGGCTTTCGAAGAAGTCCGAATAGTTGAGAAAAATCAAGAGATTTTAATAAATTATGTCAATATAGAGAGAAAATAGGACAAAAAAGAAACATCTATTGATAAGATTTTTGCATATAATATTGCAATTGATATTTTGAATAAAAATAACAATCTTAAGCCTAAATTATTGAAGAATATTGACATAAAAATGATTGTCCTAAATGAAAAGAGCAATCCGGGTAGAATTATATTCTCTTACAAAAGAGTAGTTTTTTTGAACCCATAGCTAAAACACCCGAAGATGTTAAGCTAATATGATACAAATATGTATTTATGCAAAAAAGAAATAAGAAAGATAAGATTGTAAGATATAAAGAAAAATTTTTAACACAACGAGTTTTCGTAAAGAATTGACATTGACTATGAGGAGACATATTCTCCTATAATTGATGCAATTATATTTTGTTACCTCATTAGCTCGATAAAATATATGAAAAAACATTCATATGCATACATTAACTGAATGTGATC